TCTACGCTAAACTGGGTGGATGGAGGAATCTCCCACTGGGACAAGCTTCAGTATCTTGCTAGTCAGCCCCGCTGGTTGTCAAAATACTTGAACAATGCCTGCATCCTATCAGATTGTTCAGGTATTTTGTGAGCAAGCGAGGCTGACTAGCAGGATACTGAAGCTTGGCCCAGTGGGAGATTCCTCCATCCACACAGGTTAGCATAGATGTCGGAATCTGTTGCACTTTTTCCATCTGACCATTAAAAAAAAGACCATTAAAAAAAAATGCAGATAATCGATAGGTGTATGGCGAGCCTTACACAGGCCTCTCCCGCCCCTCTGCAGCGGCCTAAAGATCTGTAAATCATGGTATCTATACACAACATATAGATGTGAGGATGCTGAGGAAGATTCCAATGCTGCTACAGTGGAGGAGACAGACTGGAGGGAGAACTGTCACAGCTGGCCGGCTTGGAGCTTTGGGTGATTTGTATCTTTGTTATTTTTGCCCCTAGACACAAACGAGCACTTAACCCTTGTAGTACGGGGGGGTAGCCCCACTGCAAGAGTTAATTAAACGTTTTCCTGGAGTTCTTCCTTTAACCCCTTCATGACTGAGGCCCTTTTTTCAATTTTTGCACCCATGATCATTTCTGACCACCTGCTTTAGGGGTGGAACTTAACATAATGGGGGTCCCCAGGGCGCGTCCAATACTGTGCAAGTCACTATTAAGCAAATACAAAGCAGGCCAGCAACATTGGGTTATAGTCCCAATAAAACTTTATTATAAAATCAGGTCTTATACTCAGTGTTTGGCAAAACCGCATCATTCAAGGAGAGTTCCGTTCTGTCCACTGGATATAAACGTTCTAAAGCTTCGCCTTTCACGGGCAAACTATCTCATTAGTGCTCTGAGGAAGAGGGCTCACCCCTGAAATGAGTAAGCCAGGATTCACACTTGGGGCATTGACTAGGGATGTGCTCAGGTATGCATTGAACCTGGAAGCGTCATGGGGCCACCCACCTCGTCGGCTTTGCCCTGTAGCTGCACATAAACAAATACAATTGATCAAATATAGCCATGGAAGGTCAGTGATGTCACAGCATCCCTCCCGTTTGCTTCTGTGGATAGGCGGGCAGGAATTCCATGGCCAGAACTAATCGGGCGGCAGCAGAATGAGCTTCCTTCCTGGTACAGATTGTACCTGAGCTGAGACTAACAGGGTTATTCACAGAAGGGTGAAGAGTTTAGAGAGGGCAGGAGAAGTGAACAATCTAGGACAAAAATAGCTGATTTGGAAAAATTCTCCAGTTCAGCTATGTTCTGGATTGTTCACTTCTCCAAAATCTTCACCCTTTTGTGAATAACCCCCTATATGTTGATATCTGGGTTCCGCATTTGAAGAACTTTTGTTCTTCAATGGATAGAGGACTCTAACCCTTATGAATATGAGAGATGATTTGATAATGTTTCATTGATTAGGTCAGGGGTAGGGATGCACCGATACCACTTTAAGACCGAGTACCGATACTTTTTTCAAGTACTCGCCGATACCAATTACCGATACTTTTTCTTAAAGGGGCAGGTCACATTTTTTCTAAAGCAATACAAAATAAATGATTTTAGGTTAGTTTCTTCATATTATGAAGAACATGAACATGAAATTAATATATATCATGCCATTGCTAACTAAGGCTTGTATCCCCATAGTGGGGAAAATAGACGAGCACATGTCCAGAACACTGTAGTGTGGCACAGCTATATATCTAATTCTGCATACCTGGCTTTATATTATAAATTTAAAAATGTATAATATAAAAAAAAAAAGCCAGGTATGCAGAATTAGATATAACTGTGCCACAATATACAGTGTTCTGGTCTGGAGTCTGGACATGTGCTCAGCCTCATCCCTTTTCCCCACTATGGGTATACAAGCCTTAGTTAGAATAGCAAGAGCTACATATTTTTTTCAGTATTGAATGTCTTTATGTATAAAAAAAAAAGTAAATAGCATTACAGCAGGCAGGCATATATCATTTTTTTTACCATCCTGTGCCCAGCCCCCACTGTAGTGTGGCACAGCTATATCTAATTCTGCATACTTGGCTGTATATTAGACATAAAAAAATGTATAATATACAGCCAGGTATGCAGAATTAGATATAACTGTTCTACACTATACTTCCACACTGTTAACACTCAGTGTTCTGGTCTGGACATGTGCTCAGCCTCATCCATTTTCCCCACTATGGGGATACAAGGCTTAGTTAGAACAGCAATAGCAGTTTTGAATGTCTTTTTCCATACATAAAGCAATAGCAGGCATATAATTTTTTTACATCCTGTGACCTGTGCCCAGCCCCCATCCTGTACCCAGCCCCAGCAGTGCTGCTAACCTTCTTCTCCGTCGTCTCATGTCTGCTTCATCCACTCCGTGTCACAGCCTAGTCACCTGCTCCATGCTGGCCTCTTCTCCCGCTGATTGGCCGATTGGATGACTGACAGGCTTCCCCACCAGTCGGAGTTTGCTTTCGGCCGTGGAGGAGGAGGAGTTCGCGGCCATCTTGCTTGAATGCAGATGCGGTCCTGTGTGCGGCGGTCGAAGATGGCAGACACAGGTACTCATTTTAGATATCGGAGTATTTGCACGAGTACTCATGCAAATACTCGGTATCGCCGCCGATACCGATGCTTGTATCGGTGCATCCCTAGTCAGGGGTCCTCAGACTATGGCCCGCCAGGGTCCTTGGCCCGGCCCGTTTGGGTGTCAAGGCCGGGGAGCTGCAGGCTCCTACCTTTACTACCTCCCAGAGCTCTCTAGACAAGCCACGCCCACTTGCGGCACACTAGCGGGAAATCCAGTCAGTTTAAAAACAGGCAGCGATGCCTGTTAACATACAAGCGATCCGCCGGATCGCTTGTGTGGGCGGTCGGCCCGTGTCCCCCTCCTCCCGTTGTCACGCTGAGCCCGGGACCAGCATAGTGCCTCTGTCACAGGGGATCAGAGGGAGATTGGTACAACACCTCCCTCCGGTCCCCTCTCCGCTGTAAGAATGCGATATGATTTGATAATGTTGCATTGAATAGATTAGGTCAGGGGTCCTCAAACTACAGCCCGCCAGGGCCCTGATGTCTCCATAAAAGAGGACCTGTCACATCTTTTGCTATCACATAGGGGGGTTTCTTAGCGCCCTATGTAATAGCAATAAAGTTAAGTGGAAAAAAAAATAGGAAACAAAATTAAAGATTGCATTTTTTTTAAAGTTACACATAAAAAAGAATACATTTTTTTAAAAGTCACCACCCACCCATACATACATACATACATACATACATACATGCATGCAAACAGGCGACGATTGCGCCCATTACGCTGCACATGTAACATATCGCCGCGAACGTCACAGTGAGAGCAATAATTCTGGGGCCATCAAGCACTAATAACACTAAACCGATGAGCTGTAAGGTGTTTTTTTTTTTTTTTTTTTTTTTAACCAAAAAATTGGGTGATAGTAAATGTTTCCTAACATAATGTAAAAAAAATTTTTTTTTTTTTAAACAATTTTCTGTAATTTTCCCAAAATATGTGGTCATTAATATCACCAAAAGAAAGCTCTATGTGTCCCCAACAAATGGTATACAATTCATTTCTGTACAGCGTTGCAGGACAGAATAAACGTCAGTCAAAGTACCGCAGCGCTGAATACTGAAAAATGGCCTGGATGGGAATGGGGTCTAAACACCTGGTCTTCAAGCAGTTAATAGGCCCAGCCGCCCTAAACAACACATAGCAATCAATCGGCCGCCCGTGGGGTCCAGGGAGAGATCGTCATTCCGCCGGCCCCGCCTGGGTGTCAGGGAAGACACACAGGCTTTTCCGGAAGCTTGGCAGCGTCTGTGTTCGGGCTGCGCCCTTTCATCTCAGGGCGCATGCCGAGGCAAACCAAATGCCTTGGTTCCTTTAGCAGCGTAACGCCATTCACACCAGAGCAGCAGCTGCTGGAACGCACAGCAATTGCTCACTAACGTTCCCCCTTTGTTCTGGGACGGGAGGGGGCGTGGCGGCACCACAGCCACACCCCTCCCTCCCATTTTTCAAACTATGATCCGGTCCCCAGCAATGTCTGAGGGACAGTGAACTGGCCCCATGTTTAAAAAGTTTGAGGACCCCTGGATTAGGTGATGCTGGTGCACTTTCTCTTCTGGGTCTTGCAAGGATTTCCCAGTCTGCAGAAAGCTGCAAAGCAGTATATAGAATTTTCTATTCATAAGAGAACATCCAAATGAACTTTGAATAGAACTACTTCAACAGCAGAATTGTATCCTTTTACCATGCGAGTGCTGACAGGTTTGTCTTTATTTTATAATGTGCGAGTACGCACCTCATATTTGCACAATATGACGCACCTTACCTCCTCCAGTGACTCGAGGGTCATGCTTCTCTTTGCTCTAGCACAGCCATCTATGCCTGTTGTTACAGGTCCCAAGTCAGCCTTTTCTATTGGCGAATCCCACGCATTTGTACACTATATTGTGTATATCATTGTACAATTAGAAAAAGAGCTTTTATTACATATAAAAAACGACAGTACCTTCCAACTTTTTTTTTTAATAATAGAGTTTTAGTTTTTCTTTAAACTTCTCTACTGATGTAAACTGTTAAATAGTCAGTCCTTCTTTGTCAGGGCTGGACAAATCCAGGAGCCAGGTAGCCACTGCACCTAAACAATGATGAGGTTTTCTCTAGTTAACAATGGACCTGGCTCTTAAAAAGAAATCCTGCTGGCTCCTTGCTTGGACAGTCTGGCTCCCGAATTCCATATTATATTTTCCATCCATGTTTGTTTTACATGCCAATCATGCTTTGCACACCAGCTGATACTTACAGAGCAGCCACCGTCTGCTGAAATTAGTCTATAGAAGATTGACATGGATTTATCTATTCTGCATCTGCTATCAATCTTGATCTGTGATATTGTACCTGTACAGTCTTTGAAACATGATTTTTCTCCCTAGAAACAGAGATAACCCGATCATGCCACGTGGACAGTCTGATCACCTTGGAGGAAATGGAATGGGAAGATGGTACGTCTATAGTATATCTATACCCCTGAAATCTGTCAGTCAGTGAAGGAGATGGGCTAAGAACACAAAATGCATTTCCATCCCCCATCCCCCCCCCCATGTTATTCTTATTATTGGGTCTTCAAACGCAGACCATTGCACCCAAACTGCTGCATACAGAATTTGGCCTCATTCACATGGATGGTAAAAACAAGACCGTTACCCCGTGTTATGAATACTAACCCAAAACCTAACATGGCGGCCACTCAGGTGTGTACACACAAACACTTCCAATTTTAAACATCATCTCATGTTAGGCAGGCCATGCTGCTTGCCAAATACAATTGTTAGAGTCAATGGCACGATGCTCCCAGCTGCTGGTATGTGGTATTGCAATGCAAAAATCCCTATTGAGATTAGGAGAGAAAAAAGCATTCAGGAAGCAGTAGTATTGCCTCCTGAGCGCATGTAAACTTTCTGAAACGTGATTACCGTGGATTGCTTTTCTTTTCAGAGGTCTCAAGTTTTTCTGCCCATGTGAACTTGGCCTTAAAAATTAATAAACTTCATTGTTTTGATATAACTAGGGTTAGTAGGAATATGCAGTTAAAATATGAGATTTGGCAAAAATATTTCTAATTTTGTTTAGAGATCTAGAGAACCCAGCTACAGAGCACAGCCAGGTCTCCGGCCTCCCTGCAGACTACATTAAAGTTAAGCAACACAGCCTGGTCTATCACTACCCAGCTTGTGATTGGATAATGGAGTAGGAACACAGGTTAGGTCATCCCCCGTGCTCAGCCCTGCTGCATGTTCAGATGCTACAGAGCCTTCATGGCTTAGAGTGCTGACCATCCCTCTCCGATGTCAACAGGGGTTTAAGTGTCTGTTGTCACCTGTGAGAGAGCCCATCAGTGTCCCTGCCTTATACAAATCAGAAGTAGACAGAGACACCTCGATTGAGCCAGAACCAGCTGACAGGTAAGTATTTCAATACAATGAAGCAGAAGACCTATAAAATGTGTTTGATTTTCTAAGCACCACAACTTGATTAAATTATGTGTGAAGTAAGGCTCATCATACACATTAGAATCTGATTATACAGTCTTTCTGATTTACCAAAGTAGTATATAGTACAACCTTCTTCATTGAATAGTTAGACAGGTCCTCTTTTTACATAGTTTTTCTAAATCTAGTAGGTTGTACGGTCAGATCATAATGTGTACGGTGAGCCCACGTTGGCCAGTCTTGTTAGAGATATAAAAATTGGAGCTAGTGTTTACCTTTTACCAGTTTTTTTTTGTTTCCTTTGGGAACAGATGAGGAATATTTTTGCTACACCTGTCGCTGTGGAGGAAGATATATACTAGCTGAAGAAGACTTGGAACAATCCTTGCTGGTGAACTGTGATTCGTGTTCTTTGATTATAGAAGTCTACAAGCAGAACATTGACCTCATGCAATAAAATCAGCCAGAGTCCAAACTAGAAGCTTCCTCACAGATTGGGATTTGTTTACAACATATTGTATATGGTATAGATAAAATACATTTGTTTTTACTGTATGTGGACTGATTAGAACAAAGCCTGGATCCTGGACATGGTGGTACATGGTAGTCAGACAGTACTTGTCACTGAGACCCGACATTACCAACTGCTATTCCACTGCCCAATCAGACTGTTTCCAGGAGGGGCACAGGATACTTTTCTATCAATTAACAATGTCAGGTATTTTACGCTGTGCGCGTGCGCACCATCAAACAAGTTTTGTACAATTTAAAAAAAAAAAAGTCCACTGATTGCCCAATATAGGCGGTCCCTGAGTTACAAACATCCAACTTACATATGACTCCTACTTACAACAGAGGCTATTACTGTACAGCAGGGGATCCCAGGCTGTAGCCTAAGTGTACCGCTCAGCATTTCAGTCCTTGTAATGCTACCGCTCTCGTGCCAATGCCTTTTTGGGTCTGGTTTGCAGTACTATATGTACATTCCAGGAAGTTGGCTCTTGTTAGACGTGCAGAGGAGGGGTGGCCGCCCTCACTGTGGGTTTTTACTACTGTCTGGATCCTCATTAGGAAGATTTAATCTCACTTCCTGTCCTTGAGACAAAAGGAAGTGAGGAAATTTACCCATAGGAAGGGAAATTCACTCCTGTAAGAGTGATTATGGGAAAAAAGGTGTCTCCTGAAGCTTTACAATCCTTATTTCCAAAATCCAATAGTCAAAGGGGCAGAAAGTGGAGGTGAAGTCTTCTGAACACACACACACTACAGGGGGTTAACCCTTCCCTAAAAAAAAAATGCATGCACTAGGCAAAAAAAATACCATTCCAAGATAAAAAATTCAGGCCAAACCCCGCCACCCCCCCATTCTTGTACTATATAGGTTTCCAAAACTGCGTACAGCATTTCCAAGACTGGCTACTGTAGTAAAAAAAGATTTTGGTTCATTTTCCAGCCACATACACAGACCACCAAGCCATCTAAGCACAACCATAAACAAAAAAAAAAAAAATCACAAATCATTTATTAGAAATCATCCTAAAATTACATAAATAACTAAAATCTTCCTTAGAAGAGAATAAAAACATTACATTTAACCACTATGGTCAATTGTCTTTAAATAGCCGGCCATTGGGACTGTCCTGAAGTGTTCCAAGAGAGTGAAAAGGCCATATCTGAAAAACAGCATAAAAAAGGATGAAGATTACTTAATAAACTAAGTGACATTAAACCCTCAGATTTTTTTTACATGAAATACTGTAATGTGTGCCTTACTGTAATCCATGGTAGCTTCCCTTCTCTTTACTGCTCTTCCTTTTAAATCCTCATGTCTTCTCATGCTGGGGGGAGAACTTCCCTTTGCAGCTGAGTACCTCTTCCTGTAGTGCTGGCTCAGGTTGTGAACCTACACACAGACACCATGTATCCTTTCCAGAGACAAGGCAGTCTGCTGCAAAACAGAAGTTCTGCCGAGCATGAGAAGAGATACCGATTTAAAGGAAGAGCAGCAAAGAGAAGGGAAACTACCATGGATTACAGTAAGGCACACATTACAGTATTGTTTTATGTTACAAAATCTGAGGGTTTAATGTCACTTTAAGTAAACATTTTGCAACATGACCATTTATTTGTTTGGAGGCAGCTGCACAAAAGCATGTCCTTTATTATTTCTCTTCTTTAAATTTGCCACTTTTAACTTACCCGAAAACAAACTCGCCCTCGTATAAGGGCATAGGGGACGGGTCCATAACTTCTTGAATCTGTGGAGTTTTTCAGGTTGTCACCTTCTAACCAGACATGGCCTTTTGGAACCTGTGAATTAAGTAGAGGGGGAAAAAATGCTTGGACCACGTGATAAAAATCTTACATACATCAGCACAATGACCCAGTTAAAAAATAAAAATAAAACTGGACAAAATTAACAATGCCTCCAGGTTAAACATTCTGTATGCACTTTACAAAAGATATACCGCACGCCTAACTGAGAAAACACCCTTTGAATCATTCTGTGCCTTTGATCCTCATAATTTAGGTATGATCTCCTTGTATTCTTATAAGCGAACTATGGGGGAGAGTGTTTCCCCCCATAGTTCTTTAGGGTCACAGGAGGACATATACTAACCTCCTCCCGTGACCCAAAGCTCAGTATATAGCGGGCTATTGCCTGCGATATACTGGCAGCGCCGCAGCCAGGACAGATCCCAACAATGCTGTCGACATCCACCCAGCTGCTTGAGTGACAGCTGGCTCAGCCTAATCAGAGGCAGAGCCAGCTGTGCCCGCCCCCCTCCGTTTCTCCACTCAGCGCTGGAGGTTTGAAGAGCGGAGGGGGGTGAATCCCTGTGGGGAGTGGTGGCTGACAGTCCCTACTCTCTGCAGGGAGATGATCAGAAAGTGAGTAAGTATTAGCTCACTTCCCGATCAATAGAGCCAACCTGCGACAGCTTCTTTGTCACAGGTCGGCTATAAGTATGAGGATGAGTGGAAATCACTCAGCTCATAGTTCTCCTTGTATTAACTACAAGGCTTCCATTTTCTCCCCCTATATTGGGAGGGCTTAGCTTGGGGACCAGGACAAAATCTGGGCTACCACATTTAAATGTTTGGCACTAGAAACCAAATTACAAACCAATAAATGAGATGGTACTTTGTCCAGACCAGAATCTCCAGGGCCTTGCTCTTGTATCCATCCGCGTAGGGGTTGCCAAACGGCAGGCACTTTAGCTCACTTTGGGTGGGGATGTCCAATTGTGAGGCAATTTTGGGCCAAGGTATATAGAAGTATTTGAGCGGTCATAAAAGAATGAAAGGGGGACAGACAACCAAAAAAACATGCACACCTTAAGTATATGCCTCAAACCAATTTAAAAATGACTCCTACATATCTTTACAGCAGCAAAAATGGTGATTATGCTAGCCCCCCAAGGTCTCCTACACTCTGCTGCAAGATACTGAAGCTTGGCCCAGCAGGAGATTCCTCCATCCACACAGTTTAGCGTAGATGGAGGAATCTGTTGCACTTCTTCCATCTGACCACAGAAAGTCTGCAGATAATCTATAGGTGTATGGCCAGCTTTAGGTAGGTGCAGACTTTACTTTAAAAAGGTGCAGACTTAAAAAGGTGGTTATCCTAATTCTGGTTTTACTACCTAGAGGTGAGTACTCACCTGGAACAAGCAGGCAGCAGAGAGTCTAGATTTTCATGCTGCATACTTGTGCTGGATCAGCAACTCACTAGCTGATGAAGCCTGCATCATAATGACAACCCTAAAGCTTAGTAGTAGGCAGTAATGGCAGCTCCCTTATAGCGATGCTCACTAGTTCCCTTTAAAGTTGTAAACAGAAAGTGGGGAAAAAAAAAAACATATGATAGGAACCCGGAGACTGGGATGGTTAGGTCATTAATTTAATAGACTTCAGAGAGGTCATTAGGATGTTGAGTGGAATAGTGCTCTTGTGTCACAGTAGCAGCATGGAGGGGGCAGACACTCGTCAACATCCTGAGGCCACAGCTCAGGCCAGACCTGTTAGTGGGCTTCTGATTAGCTAAATGGTAATTGACTGTGACACCAATTACACATAATCTCATCATTTTATTGGAGTGGGCTTGTCAAACTTCTAATTAAGATCACAGTTCAGTCTATGTGCACACGGGATCCACAACACACTGCCATCATGTCCATCAAGAAGTCTTTGGAAAGGATTTTTACGTCGGCTAAATTAATGAGAGTGTGACCTGCAAGCTGGGAAGTCTCTTGGATGTCTGGTTAAGTGTTAAATGACACTGCAAGGTCCTGGAGCTCTAATATAATGCCTGCATTTCTTAAAGGGAATATATAACTACATTTTTTGGGGGGTTTTGGCAAGGTAGAATTGTAATAAAGTTTTTAATGTGCTTCAGTGTTAATTTGTAATGACCAAATAAAATATGGTCATTACAAATGTACTACACCCAACATAAAGAGACATATGGGGGCTGCCACCCAGCATATGAGAAATATGGGGGCTGCCACCCAGCATATGAGAAATATGGGGGCTGCCACCCAGCATATGAGAAATATGGGGGCTGCCACCCAGCATATGAGAAATATGGGGGCTGCCATTGTTGATCTCTTCAGAAAAAAATGCTAGCTACCCATCTTCATGCTTTAACTTCTATACATTCTGAATCACTTACATTGGGTATGTGACCAGGAAATTAAGAGAAAGATCAGGTGTGCTCATCTGCAGAAGCACCCTGGATCAGGAACTGTTCGGAGTTGATTTACCAAAGACAAAATAGGCGGTTCACTTTGCAAGGGAGGGTTCCCCCTTAGTTTAGTAAATGTGGTCAAACTTTTGACTTCCATCACCCAATCATGTGCATGAGGTGAAGCTCTATTGACTTCCATCACCCACTCATGTGCAAACAAAATTACTCCTATTTTCCTTGCACATGATTGGGTATTCTTTGGAGTGCAGGTGAATTTTCCCTTAGCTTAGTGAATGTGGCGAAATTTCAAAGTGAACAAGCTTTAGTATTATTATATAGGATTTATATAGCGCCAACAGTTTGCGCAGCACTTTAAAATATAAGAAAGACATTACAATCACAATACAATTCAAGACAAGACAATGAGGAGGGTACTGCCCATGAGGGCTTTCAATCTAAAAGGGTAAATCAACCCCATAGTATTAAAACAAGACTGACAGTACGATAGCCAGGCTAATGGCGTTTTCAGGTCATCAATGGCTGAGTCCATGTTTCTTTAAAAGGGAAATTGCATCTTTAGTTTGGCGCCAGTAAAGCATCACAACTGCGATCAGTAGATGGAGAGTGCAACGCTATGGCTTCTGCAGATTCTTCCTCCAGTCCATGTCTGTACCTCAGTATGGGCATTCAATAACGTGGAGAGGAGCAAGAATGAAGGGACTGTAAGTGTGCCGACATCATTATGAACTGTAAGTCCCTCTGCCTTGGTGAATGGATGGAGCGGCTGTGTGGGTGGAGCCACACCAAATTTAACAGCAGCAGCCTGTGGGGAGAAGAACCCCCCATGATTCAGGTAATTAGGTGGGTTTGCAATCTGACCATGTTTCATGCTACACCCAAAATATGGGTGCACCATAAAACATGGTCAGAACGCCAAACTTGGCTCCATTTAGGGCAAACCAAGTTTTTTTTTTTTTTTAATGCCCCTAATCCCCACTAGCACCTACTGAGATTACATTTGCTCCATTGAGCTGCAAGAACCTGAAGGAAATGACTTGGGACGTCTGGGCATGGAGGCGGAGGAATAGGGGATAAACCTTTAGAGAGTGATAAATGGTTGTATCCTGCTGCACTCCTTACCGGATCCGTGGATACCCTGTGTTTACAGGTGGGTGCGCGTAGTGACCACGGATGGCGCCGTGAACAATATACGAACATCAAGGATGTCACCAGCACACCAATTAAAGTGATCAGCAAAGGAATGGCAAATTTTCATTAAAATGGACTTTAGCTGATCACTTTAATTGGTGTGCCGGTGACATCCTTGATATTCAAACCTTCAGAGAACACTAGCGAAAGTTTGTAAAAGCAACATTTGTATTCATAAATTCAACTGTTGCCTACCAAGATGTCCTGTTAGGAGTTACACTCCAGCATACACCAAGCATGGTTTTAGGTTTGCTGGTCCTTCCCCCCTTTGAAACTACAAACACCTGCATAGCCAGGTTTCAGAATGACCCTACCGTAGTCCATTCCATTCTTAAGAATGAGGGGGGGAGTGGTAAACAAAAAGAGACAGGCTTACATGAGAACTTAATCTGGCCCGGAGATAATATAAGTAAATCTTTTCTTCTCAGCTATCCCTACTGAGGTCTATTTAAGTGCTTCCCACTTTGGAACAAGCAACAAATGTAATTGCCTCGTCGCCTGCGGGTGTTCATTGCACAAAAGCGGCTTTTGTGGCTTAACCACAGGTGTTACCTTTCTTGATTAAAATGAAATATGATGAAAGGCGACAGTAGCAAATGACATATACAAGCTTGTAATGAATTGTACTTATTTGATTGGGTTCCCAGCGGGTTGTTTATAAAGTCACATGACCAGTACATGGGCCATTGTTCTTCCTCAATGCACACAGGATCGGTGTGCAAGGTTCCAAAGCTGCTTCCACTTCTTCAGGGTTCACACGGGGCACGGTATCTAATTATAGCAGCTGTGTGCCTGCTGGACACCCGGCCTAATATTTACATATTAGAAATTCATTTTTAGGAAGATGGCAAGCAGACTTCTGAAGTGACCTCACCTTGCTGAGGCGGTGGGAATCTGTTAGATTCACGCAGCACCTCTATGGCATTAACCTCCCCCCCTAGGGCCACGCAAGTAATAATGCCAGGAAAGGTACTCTGCTGCAGCAGTTTACTGCATACAGTCGTTTAACACCATGCACTGCAGACTGTTGACTGGTCCACAAAAGTCATGTGACTGCTTGGTCCAAATGTCAGTGTGTCAGCATGAACATTCTATGCATTAGCACAGAGCATTCTTACTGTCCCCAAAGTTGACCCTGCATCAATATACACAAGCCATTTGATTTTTACAACCCCCCTCCCCCTTGTAAAATGCAAGGGGGGATACTATTTTTGCAAATGTAGACTAATGTCAGGGCCTCTTCTTAAATATTGCTGGCTGGTAGTATTTAAAAAATGTACCCCTAAAGAAAGGCAACGTCGACCTCTTCCAGGCAGTGTGGGTAGAGGATGGGGGTAAGGCAAGCAAAGAATAAAAAATGATATACACATACAGGATATATGTATGCAGGACCCGAGGGGGGGAGGGGTGTGTGAGAGAAACTACCGCTTCTGCAGTTCGTCCTTCTCTTCAGCCGAACGCATTCTTCTCCTGCAGCGACCGAGGAGAAGAATCAACTTGGCTGTCTTCCCTTCACTCCTGCCACCAGCAGCTTCCTCCACCCCCGTCAGCTGCCATAGGCTGGGAGGAAGACTGCAGAACTGCTATTGGCCGGCTGGAAGTTTTTGCAGCGCGGGACCCGAAGGGAGGTTTCAGCTTGGTACATGATGGATACATTTCTGTACTCTTTCCCCCTGAGCATCACTGGAAGGAGCTTCCTTCTGTGGAGCTCAGGTTTGGTCTGCACTTGAGCTCCTGCCTAAAGAGGGGGGAGGTTAGGTGAAGGTCTGATTTCGCTCTGGGTTTGTTGTGTACTTGTACTGGTTTAGAGACGCTACAAGTCTATGCAGGCAAGGCCAGGCAACTAGCATTTTCAGTAGTAATGGCAGCCTATGCATCTCCCAGCACAGCTTTCCTAGTAAATAAAACAGTGTGGCTTATCTTGCCCATATCTACTTCTCACATCATATGGTTATGACTAGGGATGCACCAACACCGGTATTTCGGAATCAAGTACCGATATTTTTTTCTATACTCGCCGATACCAAATACAGATACTGGAAGTTCCATTAAGTAAGCCAGGCGGCGTGTAATGACTCGTCACCTGGCTTCCCGATTAGCTTAGGAAGCTGGGCGGCGTGTAAAGACTCGTCACCTGGCTTCCCGATTAGCAGGGAAGCCATCCCCATGCTTCTCGTCACTAGGTGATGAGAAAGCATGGAGCCGGCTTTCTGGCCAATTAGGAAGCAAGGCGCCACATCATTACATGGCGGCCGGCTTCCTAACTGGCCAGAAAGCCGGCTCCCTCGTCCTGAGGGAGCATGAGGCCGACTTCCTGGCCAATCAGGAAGTGAGTCATTACACACTGCCCAGCTTCCCAATTGGCCGGGAAGCCGGGCAGCATGTAGTGACTCGCTGCCCGGCTTCCTGATACCGGAAGTATCGGGCTAGGCATCGGAGCATTTGGGCGAGCACGAGTGTGTGCCCAAATACTCGGCACCGATACGAGTATCGGTGCATCCCTAGTTATGATTTAAAACAGAAATGCATTCCTAAACAGCATTCACTTTCTGTTAGCAAGTCAGCCTTGCACAGCCAAAAGTGGATGACTGCAAGCACCAGTAGGCTGGGGAACGCTTACACCTTCACATACACGCGACCTTTGTAAACATTTAGCAGCTCTCTTGTATGTGATAACCTGTATTCCAGGCTCATGGTCTAAGAACAGGTAGAAATTCATCTCTGCCTAGAAATGGGATAGATTCTCTTTAGGAACGGTCTCAAAGCACATTTTCCTGTATGAATGCCTCAATTAGTTCCACATTTTCTATTCCAAACAATGAGCTTTGCACGCTCCTAAATCTCAGTCTACAAACCTTTATTAACTATAAAGCTGCTGGTTGGCTACGAGGTTATACTACAAATAGGCCATTGCTTTATAATTTGGGCAGCTTGACTGGAGAATAAAGATTTGTAGACTTTTAAAAAGGGATGTAAAACTTATATAGTATGCATATCACAGATCATGTCTCTGTCAACTCAAATGCACAAACAAAAGCTGCTGCCACTAGAGCTTACAACCACGCTCTTTCCTTAAGTCATGCTCACTAGCGTTACCAAGCTGTACAGCAAGGTAAACAAATTACTCTCAACTAAACTTAAACCTCTCTAGCGGGCTGATTTTTTCCCTTTTCTTCTATTTTTTTCGGTTCTCTTAGTTTTTTCCTTTTTTTTAAAATTCCCGTCATTTCCCCCCCCCCTCTTGCGACACGGATCCTCACAAGGGACGGAACCCGGAAGACAGATGCCGGCATCGGCCAGAGGACACAGGGCGGTTTGAGGGGCAAGGTAAGAGACGCTACGCTTTATTCCCGAGCGTGGCTCGGGGTTACTACTTATGGTACTGAAAATTAACCCCGAGCCACACTCGGGAATACTGCCAGGAAGGTTAAAGTGTATTTCCACTTTTGCCTTCAAATGTGATCAAATCCCTCTAAATATTTTTTTATGCGTTTCTATTCTTGCCTTTTAGATGTTTTGTTGCCGCAGGCAACATGACTGAATCCAGAGTTTTCTCAGCACCTCAGCCACTCAACCCTTTCCAACATTAGGAAAGAAAGTAGAAATGTCAAACTATCATAGCAATAAAAAACAGAAAATTGCCTGGTCGTAAAAGGATTTTTTATTGGCTAGTACTAAAGAACTATGGGCGAACCTTATTTTGGCCATAGTTCAGGATCACAGGAGGACATATACCAATGTCCTCCGGTGACCCCAAACTCAGTATATAGCAGGCTATTGCCAGCTATATGCTAAGAGCACAGAGCCGCACTGCAGTTGGGATGGATCCAGACAAAACTGTGAAGATCCACCACGCTGGCTGGATTGAGGCAGAGCCGGCTGTGACCGCCCCCTCTCCCCTCCAGTCAGTGCTGGAAAAACGGAGAGGGGGAAACCCTGCGGCAACTGTCATTCAGTGCTCTCTGGAGGTAGAGGATCAGGAACTCAGCGATTGGCTGTATGTGTTCGCCGACTTCCCAATCAATATAGTCTTGAATTATGGGGCTGAGTGTTTTTCACTCAGCCCCATAATTCTCCTTCAAGTGGTTAAACTTAGGGAAATCACCTCATAGTGTCCCAACTGGAAGATTCCTGTTCTGGCGACAACTCAATTTTGGATTTTCGTTCACCATCCAAAAGAGATTTAAAAACAAACAAAAAACCCACACATTTACGGTTTCGGCCTGACAAATTCTGCTGTGGAAGGTGCATTGCAGTGTCATTAATTTCAATGGCACCTCAAACACTCCTCCTATTTACAGTGTGAATGCCCGCACTGGAGCGCACGGTACCACGATGGCATGTGTTCCAGTGCAGTGCGATTGCAAAAAAAAAATGTGCATGCAGTTTTATTCTGAAGTAAACTTTCTAACACTGCATTTGTGTATTTTATATTAAATTAAGGATGGTATTTAATTTTTTATCTGATTAATTGAAAAATAAAAAGGTCGGCCAACTAATCGATTATGAAAATCATGATTAGTTGCAGCCCTAGTATAGAAACATGGCAACCACCCGAAACAGTATACATCTCCTCCAGAAGGGTCTTAGCTCTTCAGGAAATGCTTTCCTCTGCGGACCTTTTACACACAAACGCTGGTTAGTGATAAGCAGTCTGCAGATTTTACCTGCAAGGCAAGCAGATCGCAAGGAACCGCCTCAACAGCAAAAGTAAACAGCTTTGCCACCCACACCGGACAACGCATTAAGAGCACGCTGCTGCCCATTGCCTGGAAAGCGTTGCTGAGATATGCAGACGTATCTTATCCCTTTATCAGCAGAAAGTTGACAATAAGTTCCTTATCTCAACCCCAGAGCTGTATTAAGGGGTATTATTAAGCACTCCTTCTCCTTAAGTGACAAATAAGTTGACTGTGGGTCAATATACAGCAGAACGCTCCTATTTGCTCTACAGCCTCTCTCCATAATGAAGGCAAAAAACAAAGAATGGCTGGTTGCATTCAAAACTGGTGAATTTTAATCTTCTGCTGGCTTCATTCATTTTATAATATAGTAATGCTGCCACTTAAAGTGTAAGTAAACTTAAAAACAACAAACTTCTCTTATTTGCTCTCTTTTGGTCTGCTAAATATACCTCTGAAAGGGTTGCTATACCTTTTCTGGAAGTGCAAAAATATACCTTGGATCCTGCCAGAAATCTTACCTTCCTGCAGTGAAAACAGAAATCGCATTGTTTACAGAATTGTAATGGGAGCACAAGAGTGTGTGTGTGTGTGTGTGTGTGTGTGTGTGTGTGTGTGTGTGTGTGCGCGCACACACAGAGAAGAAGTCTCTGCAAAGTGAAAGTCCCTTTATACTCTACTACAGCGAAATCCACAGCTCCTTCACTGACTTCATCCTGGATTCATCCAGACTTTCAAAGGGGTGAGACTCTTATTCAGACTGCTGGATGGGTCCCGCAAACCCTTTGATCACCTCAAAACTAAAGCAGCTGACCAATACATACCTTTTTTTCGTTACTTACCATCTCTGTCACGCCTTTACCACACAATTTGTCCGCCAAAGCTCAACTGTGTGCACAATGGTATTTGAGGACTTGAGGGTCCCAGACCTTGCGGAGAAACCTCTTTCTTTCATAGATCTTTTGCTACAATTCTTCTCCCCAAACCAACTTGCCTGCAAGGGACAACAACCTGCAAATATCCAAATCTTTAACTTGGAGGATTGGGATGACTGTTAGGAATACTTCAAGTGCCTCATCTCTGCAAGAGATCACCTTATCCAGTTTAAATTTCTCCACGGAATATATCTGACCCCAGGGAGAAGTCCTAAAGCTTTTCTGTCCACATCTGCACAATGTTGGAGCTGTTTGGACCCGCCAGTTGATTGTTGTGCCCATGTGTTCTGGCCTTTTCACAAAATTCAAGTCTATTGGAAATGGTTTCTGCCTTAACATCCATCACCATACATCCTATACCTTATCTTCAGGGCCTATCTGAGCGACTTACCCCCTTTCTACTGCTACCTGCACTCTGTTGTGCACCCACCTAACTCACCCACAATGAACACCTGATAGACACTTGTAAATTCTATGTTGTGTTTCTACAAAGCCATTTCAAAAGTGACCGAGGACAGGGGGGGGTGGCAGTTAGCAGGGATTCACTATAAAAACAAGGCAAGTCAGGCCTCAGAAACTAAAACTAGAGTGGGGCACAGAAGAGGCTTTTCCAGCTAATAAAAAGGTAATCGCAGGCATCTTGTGCTGGCAGAGCTTTTACTATTGAAGTTCTAAAATACAATGCAGTTGCCCTTTAAAAAAACAGTAGTAAAACTGGACTGATCCCAAAAAAAAAAAAAATCACGGTACTTACATACGTGTGCCTCTTGAGGAGGTCTGACGGGCCGCTGGTACAGACTTTATCACCTTCCATTCCAATTACCCTCTTGCAAATGTTAATGTTTGGTTTGTTTGGACTTTTAGCTATTATAACATCGCCCCTACAAAAGCAACAAAAGGATTAGAATGCCACACAAGCAAAACCGCAATATGGATTTACTCCAAAAGAAAAAAGGCAAAAAACTTAATACAATCTAATCACAAGCTTATGATCTATATGGGATGAAAATTGTTTAAATAAGATCTGCACCTGGCATCGTGATTAAATGCCAAAGCTGGAGCAAGCCTTGCAATGCTCCACTGAAGCAGTAAGCAAAGGAGATGGAGCCAGCGGTAGCTATGTCAGCTCAGTGGGGACTGAACTCCCCCAGACTTGTAGCAGGGGACGGAGCAAAAGATCCACAAATAAAATTCTTCACCGTGCTGTGAAGAAATTGTGATGTTAGACATGTATAGCTTATTGCTTTCTGCTAGTTAGAACATTAGACTAAAGAGGGCAACATGTATAACGTAGTCTTTATTAAAACCTTTTCTGATAAGGTCTTTATATAGTTCATTCAAGATCACTGGGTTATATTTAAAATTACTTATTTTTTTTTTTTTTTTTTACATAATGCACCTCAAAAAAATATGTTTAAATGGCACATAAAAAACCGAGAGACATTTCATTTTTATATTATATTTATTATGCGCAACCTACATATAAAAACAGACACCGGGTGCTGAGGGTAGAATCTGCATCAAGGGCATTTATCACCCTTTGTATAAGATTTATTGTAGGTATCCTCCTAAACAAAACAGTAAATAAAATATACATACAAAAAAATCTAGAGCACTGATATACAAGCTTAAAGGAGAACTATGACATGAGTGATTTCCACTCATCTCATAGTTCTAAGCCGACCTGTGACAATGAGACTGTCACAGGTCGGCTCAGTAGAACGGGAGGTGAGGGAACACATACCGGATTCCCTCACCTCTCGATCCTGTCACGGCTCTCTGCCGTGACAGGGAATCCACTGCCACAGACCCTACAAGCAGTGGGGATCCATGGAGTCTCTCATCCCTATCTGGGATGGCTCCAAGGAGGGAAGAGAGATGACAGATGCCGGCGCCCGGTATTTTTTAAAATAGCGGTCATCAGCGGCTTGTGAGCCGCTGATGACAGCTATTAATTTAAAGGGGACAGTCTGCTGAACAGTTCTACTATAAGCTGATGGTCGCTAAAGCGACCATCAGCTTATAGTAGAACTGTAAATGCCAGGTCCGTACGGCGTACTGAGCTGGCCAGCTGGAAGCACTTTTGTAGCTCCGTACGACGTACGTCCTTGGCAGCGAAAGGGTTAAACAAGTCTAAGGGTAGTTCACTTAGTTCCACACCTTCCCGTTGGTCCATTACTAACGTGGAATGTCTCACTGACCAGAAGAGATGGGCCAGCCTCAAGCAGCATTATCAGGGGTTTGATGGACTCCTGAAAGTAGGTAGCTCCATGTGCCTGCACCTTATGCAAGCATTAGTTTATTTAAAATAATGTACATGGGTCTCTTTATTCATGGCAGGCTTCCTCCAAGTCTTAGTAGGGCCCCATCTGCCCTGCCCATACCACTCCAAGTAGGCTACAGACTGAAAAGCAATGTCTAGACCATAGCCTACGTCACACAAAAATAAATAAAATTAACTTACTTATGGATTGAATACAGGTGTCGGCTTATGTTTTCACACATCAAAACATCGTAATTCTGTATGGTGGGTTCCATAGAGGGTCCTGAACACTAGAGAGGGAAATGCAGAGTAACATAAAAACCGACACATGGATGCTATAGTAGATGATTATGCTTCCATTAAACCTGCCATCAGATAAATAAAAAGGCCATCATTCTAAGAAGTCTAGTTGCCTGGATTTGTCTGTCTTCAAAATATTCTAAGCCACTGACCTGGAACAATTATGCAGCAAGTAAGAGTGAGAAGGTAAACTCCTGCATCTCCTTACTATTTCAAGGTCCATGACATGATCAAATCAAAGAACATGCACCACAGCCAACCAGAGGGTCAACTTTTGAAAAATCAACGTGAGGGGTTTCAAAATTTCTCTCAAATTTTTATCATTACATATACATTGATGACATTCACATCAAGCTGATTTACGCATCTAGCAAAAAAAAAAAAAAAAAAGGCCCCCATTTCTGAATTTTCGACAGGGTTTATAAATCT